CGAAAGATTATAAAAGGAGCGACAAGAGGACTCCAAAGAACATCTTCTCACCTTCTTTCCCTCTCAAACACTTTCCCCCATTCGAATGCTCCTCCACGACGACCACGATGCTTCGTCTCCATCCAGAAACTCCTCCCCCGATGTCGTCCTTATGGTCGCCAATCCAGATGTCGAACGAGTGGAAAGAGGAACAAGTCCTCACCGACCAGATGCTGGACGAATTGATAGAGGAACAAGTCCTCAACAACCAGGATCTACCGGGGTCCTCCTCACCCCTCATACCAACAACTTCTCCGACGATGACGCCGAAGACTATGCCAAGTTCAAGGAAAGGGAAAGAACCCGAAGACCCTCACCGGAGAGGGCCCCACGAGATGCACCACGGCATGAAAGTTCTGATGACCGAAACCAGTCGAGCCTTGGCCCATTACCAGTGGGAGTTCCACCTCCTAGTGAAGGCACGCGTCCTAGTGGAGTTGCAGGTTCCTCGGGATTTCGAGCAAGAACGGCAGCTCAACTCCCAGGCCATGGAGAAGCTGAACCAATACCAGTTCTATCAGAAACTGCACCTCCGCCAATACCAACTAGTGGACCGATTCCCAGCTCCATGGGAGGACCTACCCCTCGTACAGATCCTCACGCCGGAGAACTGGAGCGACACGCGGACGCGCTCCTCCAGCGGAACACCATCTCCGCGGTAATACAAATGGCCACAGCCATGGCCCTCCAAAGACTCGCTAACTTCTCGGCAGGACAACCCGGGAATGAACATAGCGACGTACCTCGACGACTGGCTAGTGCCAGTCTCCAAATCAGAGCACTCGCCCTCCAAACCGACCCGGACACAGCCTCCTGGTACGCCCACAATGACGGGCGACCCCGAGCCCTCCTCATCCACCCGGACGAGTTCTCCCAATACGTCAACCGAGAGCTCCTTCCAGCTCTCCTCTTCGGAGGAGAACTGGGAAACGTCCAACCAAGCAGAACCGACCCCTTCCGAGTTGTCACTTGGAACGTACCACGTCCCGGAGAACATCCCACGTCTGTACCAAATCCAAGGAGGGTTCCGCGTACGGTCGTGGAGCGCCCTCCACCGAGACAACGAGAGGTTCCTACAGCGCATAGCCATACCGCGACTCCCCCCTCTCACCGGATACGAGGTTTTCCCCTATCCCAAGGAAATACCGACGAGGAGGAACCGCCCGTCTATCGAAGAAATGAGGGAAGACGGGGTCGGGGAAGTCAGGCAACCCTCGGACGCGGAACAACTGCTGGCCGGAGTATTCGACACCGGCCTGGATCGCCTCCTCCTAGTGCTCGATTTCGTACGAACGAAAGAGAGGATAACCGAAGTAGCCGCAGAACTCGCCGCGCTGATTCGGAGGCTCGAAGAAATAGCTCTTGGACTAGATCCGAGCTCGATGCATGGGATGCTCTAGACGATCCAGGAAATTACGACGACGCGGACCCCTACTACCGACCTGACGAAGGAGGCGGGGATTATCAAGGACCTTTTGATTATTAAACGGACTAATAACGGGGCATAGGGAGAAGAAAGGGGGTAAGGAAGTTGAGGAACTCCTTCCCCTGACGCGAATCGTCCGCAACGACGTAAAACTAGGATCGTCCCTCAAGACGTTAAACTGTACGACCTCGTCCGAAAGAGACGTTAAACTACCCCGCGTCCGGAATGACGTCTAAACTATCGGACCTGCATGTCTTAAAACTGTGAAAAGATAAGAAGGCAGGGGAAGTACCTGACCAATTAGTTCTTAGGTTCCAATGATGGTAGGAATCAAGGGACAACAGCGGGTATAATTCCACGTACGACCTACGGCGGAATCCTTTCACATCCTCGCTGTCAAGGAGTTAATCTGACAGATGCATCGAGCGTCCCATTTGGATCCTCAGTTTTACAGGGTTTTTTCCGCATTAGGGAACCCTCTACATGACATATATCTACTTGAAGGTGTCAACAAGCCGGCTCTTCGCCTTGGTACAGCGAAGGACCCATACATAACGGTCTGCAATCCGTGGTCGAGAAAATTATGATGCATAACTCGTCAAGTGACCCTCACAGTCAAGGTCTGACTGGTGTTTTGGGACGTCCCACTTTGGATCTCCCGTTTTACAGGATCGTTTCCGCATTAGGGGATCCTACAGCTGGCGCATGAGATGATGTAGAGAGCGGGCCGCCTCTACCTCACAAGTCTTCCTAATGATGCGAGGCCACAAATTACATCCGGAACGATGTAAAACTACCAAAGGCTTGGTCCGCAATGACTATAAACTACTAGGGTCCGCAATGACGTTAAACTAGTCCTCGTCCGAAACGACGGAAAACTATCCCCGTCCGAGATGACATTAAACTACCATTGACCAAAGGAGCGTGGTTGCATTCTGGCGAAGCGCGGAAGGACTCGCGTCACAGAACCCTGCCTATAAAAGGTCGAAGCGCTTCCGATATTCACTCGCTTTTCGGTAAAAGAATATCGGGTCGTCTTGGTTCAAATCCAAGCGAGGGGTCTGGGGACATGGAAGAGCAAGCATCTCTTCATGGAGCGCTCAGTCTAGTCCTGGAGTCGAAGTACAAGAAATTCCGCTCCAAGACCTAGTCAGGAGGCAACTAGGACACGTGCCTCGAGTCAAAGATCTAGTAGGAAGGGACTAGATCACGCGACTCTCGTCTGGCCCACATAGCGGAAGAACGACAAAGAGCGGGCCACTCATCCAAAGTCTATTCCGCCACATGCGTCCGCAACGACGATAAACTACGAAGCGTCCGGGATGACGTTAAACTAAGCATTGTTTTTCCACAATATTTGTGGCGAAACAACGTCCGCGATGACGTTAAACTATTGTCCCTTTCCACATAGGGATTGTTCGAGGCCAATGGCATCGACGTCCGCAACGACGGTAAACTACGGGCATCCGAAACGATGTAAAACTACTGTCCCTTCAAGCATAGGGATCGTGCGTGGCGATCTTGACAAGATACCATGCGTCCGCAACGACGTTAAACTAGTGCCCCTGAACCTAGGGGTTGTCATTGACGTCCAATCCCCTGGCCGCCAATGTGTCCGCAATGACGCTAAACTACTTGCTCCCGATCGCATGGGAGTTGTGATTCATCACTCTGGTGCTGGATCGTCCGCAATGACACAAAACTATTTGCTCCTTACCGTATAGGAGTTGTGGATTGACCGCCATGGTGTCAATCGGTCCGCAATGACATTAAACTACGATGCTCCTTACCGAACAGGAGTTGTGGTTGTTGACCAAGACCGTGGTCACCAACCGTCCGAGATGACGTTAAACTATTCGTCCCTTTTAGCATAGGGATCATCGGTCGACATCATCCTTGACGAGAATGTGTCGACAATGTCCGAAATGACATTAAACTACCCTCATCCTCGGAGGAAAAGCCTATCGTGACTCGAGGGACATAGTCAGACGATAGCATCCGCCTATCGCACGGCGTTAAACTGCAAGCCGCCTAATGCACGGCGTTAAACTGCAGGTCCGCCTACCTCACGGCGTTAAACTGAGCGGTCTCATAACTTTGAGGCGTTACAAGTTATCCGGTTTGATATAGTATAAACCGTCCATCATGCCTCAGTGGAATCTGGAGCGGGTAAAGTCTGGTCTATGGCCCTATGCACATCACCGATGGAAATTCCGGCGTGCAGAAACATCTTTCCCCACAGATATTCCATGTTGATGATGAAGGACGTCCGCAAAGACGTTAAACTACGGATCGTCCGAAACGACGATAAACTACGGACCGTCCCGCATGACGTTTTAAACTGCCAGTCGTGGATATATCTCGCACCCCGACCAATATATCAGCTGTGGTCTTGATGTCCATTCGTGCAAGCGAACGGGCAGACTTGGAAAAGGAGTCAGACTCCTCCTTGTTCCTCGATGCGCCGTTCAAGTCTAATTCTCTTTACATCCTTGCCTCGAACCCAACACTACACGTGGTATTCCCCACCATAGGCCCACGTTTGTGAAAAACAAACTCTGGATGCCGTAAACTGCCTCACCGGAGATGAGTCCACCGTATGGGGACAATACTGCTTGGGATTTGGCTGCAACCTCACCGGAGATGAGCTCACCGTATGGGAGCGATACTGCTTGGGGCGTCATGACTGGTAGCCTGGAGAAGTAGGCCTAAGCCTTCGTAAAGCGATCAACCTACTTGTCCATGGGCGCCATCCACTGTCGTCAAGAGGAACAACAAATCATGAGGGTAGATGACTATCCTGGAAACACTGAGGTTTGGCCCTCGGAGAAGGAAGAAGAAGAACCTGATGACACGAATCGGAACCCACACGCTAGAGTTTCTACACATCCACACACCACTCGCGGAGTGGCGATGAAGCGCACAGCGCTGTCCTACCAGGCGAATAGGACGTAGAAAGGGGGTATTGTTATGATCACGTTCTATCGGGCCTACACGGCGGTCTATTCCGATACGATCATCACAAATATCACGCGGCCTCACAGGTTGAGGCGTACACCAAGGTACAGATATTAACCTTGGTCATCCACTCCCAATGGATCATCAATCATTGGTCGAGTATCATGGGCCTATGTATTAGCGGGCATGGAACGCCGCCTTATAAATTACTCACACGCAGGGCATGAACCTCCTAGTCTTTCCTGGCCGGAAGGAGACCAACGGAGAAGCACAAGAGTAGTCGTTATTGAGGGAGACGACTTAGAGAATACCTACAGATACATATTCGGTATTCTCACGCCCTACTTCCCAAAGTAGTATAAAAGGCCCATAGAATAGGCTGACGATCTTCAGTCTATTCTCTTCGTTCAGTACTGTCTTCCTACAGTACTCCTTCATTCTTAGGCAGTCTTCGTACTGTCTACTTTCATTGCTACATCGCAATACACTGTTGGCTCCTGTGCTACACGTACAGTCGAGACCACCGTTCCACACATCCTCCACGAGTGACCTAGGGAAGAACCTCCTACTCTCGGGGTTACCGACGAGCAGTCGTAACAGCGGTCTTGAGGAAGATCTTCTTCCACGACTTCTCTGTGGCCTTCCCAAGTGATTCGACATATTCCACAGTCTTGACGCCCCAGTACTTCTGCGAGAACTGTTCTTCCTCTCCCTTGGGTGCCTTGAAGTTGCCTATTGACCATTGAAGTAGCATGTGCTCGGCCTGAAGCAAGATTGTTAGTGCTTGTATATCAACACATTTGCGACCACTTACCACTACTGCTAAGAGCACTAATGCTCCACTGGGATGGGCCCCGCACCACAAACTTGAAGGAATTGTTGCCATCTTGTTGTGGTGCATAGAGAATGCTTGTAAAATAATAGGGGATTGGAAAGCTCCGTCTGATGAGCCAATTAATGAGGCTCAGCGGTAAAGAAATCATCACTCAGCCATGACATACAGGATTTGTGATGTCGCTCTTGTCAACGTCCTCATAGATAGCAGGAACCTGACCACCCTTGGTTTCAGGAACAGCCCACTGTACATAGGCAGCACGTTCTTCAGCATCCGCATACAGGGGATCAGATTCCCAGAAGGCCTTTACCCTTTTGATGGCCTCTGTGGCAAAGTTCCTGCGCCAGACGTAAATGCGCTGCATCACCTAGGGTAGTATACCACAGTGTGAACAATCAGCACTAGTATAGATACAAAAGATAATTTAGATGTACCAAGTTGAAGACCGCCTCGTCTTTGGCAGCAAGGACATGAAGATGGCGGGGAAACACCTTGTCCCACAGCTCCTGTGCTTTCATAAGCATGCCGGCACAGTCCCAAGGGTTCTGTAGAGTCCCTAAAAAATCTAACCACATGTGAGTGAACAACATACGCTAGGCTTCCAGAGTGCCGTTAGGGAGATTTGCGAGCATGAACTTCCTGCATGGAATCTTCAAAGCCTTGGTGATGGGGGTTCTTGGATTGGCTACTCTCTTCGACTGAATGCCCTTCTTGGTTCCAATTTTTGGTGCAGAGACCACAATAATGGGCTAGATCCAATCAGTAGCATAAAGTAGTGGTGCACAAGTGTACGACATACCTTCAAGTCGAGCTTTATGTGTTATGATCACGCTCTGTCGGGCCTTAACGGCGGTCTATTCCGACACGATCATCACAAATATCAAGCGGCCTCACAAGGTGAGGCGTACAAACAAGGTACAGATAGTAACCTTGGTCATCCACTCCCAACGGATCACCTTATCGTTGGTCGAGTATCACGGGCCTATTGCGTAGCGGGCATGGAACGCCGCCTTACAAACTACTCACACACCGGGCATTGAGCTCCTAGTCTTTCCTGGCCGGAAGGAGACTAACGGAGAAGCACAAGAGTAGTCGTTACTGAGAGAGACGACTTAGAGAAATACCTACGGATACATATATGGTATTCTCACGCCCTACTTCCTAAAGTAGTATAAAAGGCCCATAGAGTAGGCTGAGGTTCTTCAGTCTATTCTCTTCATTCCCCTGTATCTTCACATACAGGGACCTTTGTTCTTAGGCAGTCTTCATACTGTCTACTTCGTTCAGTACTGTCTTCCTACAGTACTCTCCCCATTGCTACATTGCAATACACTCCTGGCTCCTGTGCTACATGTACAGTTGAGACCATCGTTCCACACATCCTCCACGAGTGACCTAGGGAAGAACCTCCTACTCTTGGGGTTACTGAACGAGCAGTTCGTAACACTAGAATAGACTCTTCTGCCCCTACCTTGCTCGCACTAGCTTGCTGCCACACTCTTTCTCATAACCTTACTCAGTGGGGATATAGACCCCCATCGAGAAAGTGTTACTGCGTACACTCTGGAGCAAGACCTAGGCTAGGAATATCCACCCGGCGCTAGACGTATCAATAACCAATTCCGTCACAACAACCGCCCTATCCGGCACGAAGGGGACTTCTGGGTCTACGAAGACAACAACAGATACGCTCCCCCAAATTACGATAACTGCTCATACCGAAACGGGCGGTATTACTTCACCCTTGAAGACGGAACAGAAGAAGAGGATATTTGGAACGAAACAGAAGCTCAGTGGGAACTAGCCCCACAATACAGGGAACCGGCGCCGGTAATCCCCGAAGACTCGGAGCAAGAGGAAACAACCTCAGAATCAGACTCCGACTCACTAGACCAAACACCAATCAACACCCGAAACGAACCGCTCGCCAACATGTCGGGACAAGCTTCGACTTCTACAGACCCCCCTTCCGCGACAGTACAACCCGGAAGAGGAAAGGTCAAACTCCCAGACAACTATACAGGCAACCGCATTGAATCCCAGAAATTCATGCTCCAATGCCTCCTTCTTTTCGCAGCAGAATCCGATCGGTACAAGACCGATCAAGACAAGATATCCCTGGTGCTCTCATGCATGAGATATGGCACGGCAGGAGCTTGGGCCGAGAACTTCCTCCTCAAATCAGTAGGAGCGGACCCTCCCACTGATCTAGGAACCTGGAGGGACTTCTTAACAAAGTTCAAGCTCCAATTTAGGGAGACAGGCAAGACCGATAAAGCGCGAAGCGCACTCATGGCCTTTTCCCAAGGACGAATGACGGTTGATGAATATTCCAACCAATTCATCCTCATTGCCGCCGATGCCGACATCTCCGACAAGGAGCAAGTCCCTTACTTCCAACGCGGGTTAGACCCGCGCGTCATGGACAAAATATATGACAAGGAAGTTCAACCAAAAGATACCATCCAGGATTGGATTAACACAGCCTGCGAAATAGACGGACGACTCAGAGCCAGATCCGCTCAAAAGGCCATCCTTGCCAACTCCACCTCCTTTCGCAGCGATTACTTGAATCGTTTCCACACTCAACCAGCCGTCCGCTACAACTCTACCACCGCTCCTCGCAGAATGAACAACCAGGTGGTTGACATGGACATCGACGCTACCAGGAAGCGTAACGCCGAAAGTCAAAAGAGAAAATTTGACGGCAAGCGAACCTCCCGTTGCTCAAATTGTGGAAAATTAGGGCACTCTAGCGCTAACTGCTGGTCGGCCCGTAGAGGCGTTCCACCAGTTCGAGGAAACTCGAAGAGACGCCTGGGTACGACAGGGAGAGGAAACCGTGCGGTTGATTTGGAAGGAGAAGACTACGCACCCGCTATGGGAGACCAAGTGGGAATATATTGAGGAATGGAGACAGAGGACGTTCCTCGCAACGACCAGCGGGTACCACAACCTGGTCCTTCGATGGAACGTCCTCACTCTGCCCCATCCGGACGACCCCAAACGAACCATGGGCAACGCGCTATGTTACCTAACGGACGACGGGGAGACGGAAGCGTCAGTCATTCTGCTCGAATCGGAGCAGTGCTCGGAGAACTAGGGGAAGATGAAGCAAGAGAAGTGATCTTGGGACACGCGGAGCGTTTTTCCTGACCTCTCCCTCACCAGCGAAGGAGAGAGGTCAAGAACGACCCGAGTTTGATGCCCGCACTTGTATTCGTATCGGAGCAATGAACGACTGTATCATCACTCCCATACGCCTGAACGTGAAAGTATCAAACAGGAGTCAATACGCTGGAGCAAAGGCAACCATCGACTCGGCATGCGAGGGGGTTATAGTAAATGAAACTTGGGTCAGGAGACATCGCTTTCCCACCTACACACTTAACAACCCCATTCGCGTCCGGAACGTCGATGACACCATTAATAAAGCAGGTCTCATCCGATCAGCCTTGGATGTGAACCTCACCATTCGGGACATCAGGGGACGAACGCATACTGAGCGCGTCCAGATGTTTATCTCCAATCTAGGGAAAGACGACCTTATCCTAGGAACAGATTGGTTGAAATACCACGATCCCTCCATCAAGTGGAGGCGACGTGAAGTGCACTTTGATCGGTGCCCCCAGAAATGCCAGCAACCACATGGGTTCACTAGGGCAAGGGAAGAACCGCAAAACAATGGGCGGTTATCAGACGTGGAGCCACGGCACAAACCACGCATTAACGAGCGCGAAAAACAGCGCCTAGAACATCTCCGAAGATTGTCGGAAGATGTAGGACTCCGCGATCACAGCGGAACGTTTGGTGTCCAACTACGAGCATACCTCAAAAGGAAATGGCTCCTACAGGACATAAGGAAATACGCAGAAGAGAAACGAAAGGCTCAAGCCAAACCATCTCTTTCACCAAACGGGGGAGAACCCGATCTCCCACATGAAAACTCAGGAAAACAGGCCATAGAGGAACCAGTTATTCGGAAACTGGCTCCCGAACCGTCAGGATTTGCCAGCTTCGACCAGGACTTGGAAGATGAAATCGTCGTCACCAATCTAAAGGAAAGAGTCCCCAAGGCGCATCACAAATTTTTGGACATTTTCAGTGAACGAAAGTCGCAGCGACTCCCAAAGCACACTTATTGGGATCACGCCATAGATCTGAAACCGACCTTCAAACCTCAAGTACCAAAAATCTACGCCTTGAGCCCAGAGAAACACGACGAATTAGGAAAATTCATCAAGGAACACCTCACTCGGGGGACCATCCGTCGATCCACCTCACAAACGGCAGCCCCATTTTTCTTTATAGGAAAGAAAGATGGAAAACTGCGCCCGGTACAGGACTATCGCCATTTGAACTCGTACACCATCCCAAATGTGTGCCCCCTTCCACTAATCCAAGAACTATTGGACGTGATCAAAGGGGCCACCATTTTCAGCAAATTGGATGTACGGTGGGGATACAACAATATACGAATCAAGAAGGGCGACGAGTGGAAGGCAGCTTTCATCACTCCGCTGGGCTCTTACGAACCCACGGTGATGTTCTTCGGCCTTACCAACTCACCAGCCACCTTCCAAGCCATGATGAACATGATCTTCAGAGAGCTCATCACGGCCCGGAAAATAACCGTATATATGGACGACATCCTCATCTTTTCCAAAAACATGGCGGAACACATCCAGGTCCTGAACCAAGTTTTCCAGATCTTGCGCGACAACGACCTCTATCTGAAGCCAGAAAAGTGCGAGTTTTATAAAGAAAAACTCCAATATCTGGGATACACAATTTCAAAAGACCACGTCGCAATGGAAGACTCAAAAGTGGACGCTATACAAGATTGGCCAGTCCCACGCACCGTCCGAGACATTCGCTCCTTTTTAGGTCTAGGAAACTTTTACAGGCGTTTCATCGATAAGTTCTCCCTTATCGCACGACCTCTGCACGACCTCACCAAAAAGGATGCAAAATGGAACTGGACTTCGAAGTGCCAGGAAGCCTTCGAACGATTAAAAAGGGCATTTATCAGCAAACCTGTTCTGAATTACCCGGACCCCATGCATCCATATCGACTAGTAACGGACACCTCACTAATCGCTTACGGAGCCACCCTCCTGCAAGAAGGAAAAGATGGCGACTGGCACCCAGTCGCATTCCTTTCTGGGTCATTTTCACCAGCAGAACGGAACTACGACGTCCACGATCGCGAACTCCTGGCCATCATAAAAGCGTTGGAACACTGGAATCACTACCTCGAAGGTGCACGACACCCATTCGAGATCTGGACAGATCACAAGAATCTGGAACACTTCCAAACGGCGCGAGATCTCTCACGACGACACGCCCGTTGGAGCCTTTATTTGAGCAGATTCGACTTCACGCTCAGCTATAAAGCGGGATCAACAAATCATTCCGATGCTCTGTCCAGGCGTCCAGATCTAAGTGAGGGGGTGGAATCTGACAACAAAGCTCAAATTTTGCTCCCGGCCAACCTTTTTAACAAATCCGACGAAACACTGGTAGAACCGTCCCCGACACGACATATCAAGTCCACAGAAATTGCATCCTCGGACCTCATTTCCCTCATCCGACACTCAAAATCGGAACATGATGCCCTGACAAGGGTAGCCCTCACCAAACTTTTGCGAGTAGGGCCACAAGGAATGAGAGGATTACTGGGACACTGGACACACGAAGACGGAATCACCAGACGAAACGGCCACATATGTGTCCCAAAAGACGATGCCATACGAAGACTTATTGTCAAAACGCATCACGACGCACCCGCGGTAGGACATCCGGGGAGAACAAAAACGTTGGAAATGGTACAACGACACTATTGGTGGCAAAACATGACAAAGTTCATCCATGAATACGTGGACGGATGCGCTGATGAGCATGCACCCGGGCTAGGGTCCGAGGGAGGTATTCGGGAAGCTTTGGGGAGATACCGAACAGCGCTCGACAAGTACCGAAGACGCCGACTATTACCGAACACGGTCGGTCCCTACCCGACCGACGACAAGCCACCGAAGGACGTTCGGCAGTACTTGGGTCAGTTCGCCCACACTTCACGTACTTACCATGACCGCATAGGAGTGTTATGATAAGTGTTTACGAGATCGGAGCCAGTATTCCGTATCGGCCGATGTCCTCCGTGAGTCGGTCGGTCCTTATCGTTTATCTTCCCGACTTCTGCATGGTCGGTCAAACACGATCTTGCACCATTACTTGGCCACCCTGGTCGTACGATACCTCTTCTTTATTTTTCATTGGTTCTCCAACGCCTGTTCCGTCTACCTACGCTCGGGCGATGGATCCCGAACGTTCGGGATTTCGCCATCGCTGATTAACTTTTACCTTATCACCTTCGGAACCCATATGGACATCTCACCTACCTTCTTATCTTCTCTGATCGCTAAGGCTTGGCGCCCATTCGACATCTACTCTCATTTCTTGTTTAATATTTTACTTAGAGGCTCTGTTTACTATAAAAACCTACATACAACTCTGGAATAAACCAGCTTTCGCACCCCACAGTTCAGAGCTCATTCGCACTCGTCTCAACCATCGAAATCGTCTTCATCGACTCCCGAAAACTTGTCATCCTCGTCGTTTGGCCTCATTCGCGTTCGTACTCGTCACTTCGCTCGTACCCCCCATCCTCCCTCGTATATTGTCAGAGTCCCGTGTGGCTCTTGAAGCGCGTAGTTGTCGGTCGCGACACTACCTTCTCGTTACCGACCGAATCCCCGACTCGACCGACCGAACGTTCGGTCGGTGTTCGGCGCAGTCCCGAAACCGTTCGGGCGCTATAATCTCATACTCCCCGTTGCTTCTCAGTATGCCATCGATTTCTAAAGTCATCACTAACAATTCCTTGTGTATTAGATACTAGCTCCAGCACCCCCTGCATTAGAGGTTGTTTTGGTGTTGTGCTCGGCACTTAGAGCCACCTCTAGCGTATCATTTTGGAGCCCACCGCGAGGGGTTAGTATTCAAAATTACCTCAAGGAATCTACGTCGCTCGTCCTGACCAACAGCGGAGCGCGAAGAACAACAAACAGTTATCGACAGCTTCAATACTCAGGAAACATCTGCCGACCGAAGTTTGTTCGGAGACGCCGATATAGTCCCGGAGCATCTATCCCACCATCACTATCTTGATCTTGAATCCTCGCCATCGCTCTCGCCGCCACCCGACTCCACTTTCTTCTTAACCCCACCTTCATCGCCGAACCGATCGCTACTCCCGCCGATTTCCCCCATCCTCGACCTTGCGCTCTTAGAACAATCACCCCCGTCTCCTAGCCCATCTCTCCACGACTCCATCTCTCCGTTAATCCCACGCAGCCCCGTCTTCTGGACGCCGACCATCCGACCAACTTCGCTAGAACGCTCCTTCGAACCAGCGACTCCATCCCCGATCACCTTAGCAAACAATACCTTCTCCCCCACCTTTGACTTTCTCACTATGGCGACCCCATCCATGCCCGCTCGTGGATATCGAACGGCTCCGACCTTTGACCCCCATCAACCCCGCGAATTGAGACGATATTTCGCCGATCTGGACTTCCACTTCGTTCGGTCTGCGGTAGAAGACGAGCAGGAAAGGAAGAAACACGCTTGCCGATTCCTGGACGTCGACACCTGTGAGCTTTGGGAATCGCTCACTACTTTCACCGACGCCACAAAGACATTCAAGGAGTTCGGCGAAGAGGTCTACAGACTATACCCCGGATCGGAGGAAGAGCGCAAATGGTCGGTATCAGATATGGACAAGCTCGTCGGTGAAACGAGCAGGGTCGGCATCTTGTCTCTCAGCGAACTCGGCGACTATCATCGGCGATTCCTGGCGATCACGGTATTCCTCCTCAGCAAGGCACGAATCTCGGTCGCCAAACAGGGACGCACCTTTGCTAGAGGATTCCAACCGGAGCTATGGGCAAGAATCTCTCAACGTCTACAACTCAAGTTCCCCGATCATTTCCCAGACGACCCGTACAACCTCCAGGACATCCACGACGCGGCCCGATTTGTCTTGCACGGCACCACATCCGCCTACAGCACTACGTCTACCGACATCTCTCGAGCAGCCCCCGCTGCGCCGCCCACCAACACGATCAAGGCCGAAGACCTGGCGACCATGTTCAAACGGCTCACCGACACCTTCGTCAAAGCCATTGCAGCTCAGGGGACGTCCAGGCCAGCCGATCGACCATCCCGACAACCAGGACAAGGCGGCGACAACTGCATGTTCTGCGGCAGTCCCGAACACTTCATGCGCGCCTGTCCCGAGGTCACCGAATACATTCGGATCGGCAAATGCAAGAGGAATATCGAGGGGAAGGTTGTATTGTCAAGTGGGGCATTCGTACCCAGAGAAATCACGGGTAGTAATCTGAAGGACCGAGTTGACGAATGGCACCACAGGAATCCAGGCCAGTTGGCGACCGGACAGATGATGTTTACGGTAAACGCGGCGCCGACTCACCCGATGACGATAGCCTCCTGTCACGATTCACCCTCATTGCTGGATGTCACCCCAACTTACCAACTCACCGACGTCCAGCGAATTGCGAGCCTCGAACGCGAACTATTCGCGCTCCGAACACGGGGCGCAAGGGCACGCAAAATGGCGCAGACAGGACGTTCGGTGCCTACCCCTTCACCGGCTCCCGAACGACGAGCGAGGGCCGAAATTCCCGAACCCGAACCCCGACCAACCACCCCGACTCCGCGACCGCCCCCGGTACCAGCCAAGGACGATGCTCCGATCCACCCATACGCCAAAGCCCAGGACGCCACCTATGCACCACCGCACGAACGCAACATGGGAGCCCCGGCGAAGATACCATCGGCTAAGAAGGACGCTCCGGCCTACAAGACTACGGCGCCGATCTACGACGAGAAGGTAGCAGCCGAGGTCTACAACAGGGCGATGGCCACTCAGGTGACGCTTACCCAGCGCGAACTACTCTCCCTCTCCGCCGAAGTCCGTTCGCAGGTCAGGGAAGCCACGTCGGCACGCCGATCGCCTACCAAAGACGCCAGCAATGTTCGGACCTTCTACCAAGATGCCGATCTACCCTACGCCATCGACGATCTCGAACCACCGACTCGACCGACCGTCTCCTCCTTCGTCAATGTCCTGCACCAACCTGAAACACCTCCACCTGGCGCGATCATCATCCCCGATACGTACGAAACATATCTGAAGAGTCTACAGCCCGGTCAGGTTCCTCTGCCGTTGATAGTTGCTAAAGAATCTTCAGCCCTAAGGTCCATTGTTCCCCTCGTCGATCACCAACAGGAAGTCGAATGCGTCATCGATCCGGGTTCACAAGTCATCGCCATGTCGGAAGGCATTTGCAATGAACTGGCGCTCATCTACGACCCCGAAATCGTCCTCAATATGCAGTCGGCGAATGGCGAAATCGACCGATCCTTGGGCCTCGCACGCAACGTCCCATTCCTCATCGGCGATATCACCTTGTACCTCCAAGTCCACATCATTCGTAACCCAGCCTACGACGTTCTCCTCGGTCGGCCCTTCGACATCCTCACCGAAAGTATCGTCAAGAATTATTCAAACGAAGACCAGACGATCACCATCAGTGACCCAAACATGGGACGACGAGCCACCATTCCGACGATTAGACGAGGACCCCCTCGAGTCCTTCACCGAAGACAAGCGGGTTTTTGCGACTCGATGAATTGATCCGAGATCAAGGAGAAGTTGCACTGATCATTTCCACCGATCATGATACCCCCAATTTCCCACTTATTGAAGCGTCCTCAGATTTCCATTCTCCATCTCCCTCTCGTCGCGATCTTTGTCTCAAGTACATTATGGCCTCCGATTTGGGGCCCGAAAATCATCTCAAAAACAATCTCGATTCCGATATGTCGTCCTTATTTTCCTCAGTCGTCCCCGGTTCTTTCCATTCCACTAATATCGCCGACCCGGTCGCCATCTTCGCCGCCAAGCGCAAGTACAAACCGGTTGCACAGAAAACACGACCAGTCTTGGCCGACCTCCCCGAAAAGTTCCGAATCGTTCGGAACATCTTTGGTGACCCTCTCGCTACCCTTCCGACGCTGACACCGAACCCCCCACCCTTCACGCCGACCGGCAGATACACAGCCGAACGACGCGACCTCATCGACAAAGTCCACTCAGACGACTTCCTTTGGCCCACCGAACGACAGCTCATGCACCATTTCATGTGTCTACAAGAGATGGGATTTGCCTGGGACGATTCGGAACGCGGACGTTTCCGCGAGGACTTCTTCCCACCAGTCAATATGCCGGTAGTCGAGCACAAGCCCTGGGTTCAGCGCAACATTCCGATTCCACCAGGCATCTACGACGAAGTGTGCCGACTTATCAAAACCAAGATTGCCGCTGGAGTCTATGAGCCGTCGAATTCGTCCTACCGATCGCGCTGGTTTACAGTCGTCAAGAAGACGAATAGCACCTCCACTGGCACCAAACTCCGAATCGTTCACAGCCTCGAACCCCTGAACGCCGTCACCATCCAGCATTCAGGTGTGCCCCCATATACCGATCAGATCGCTGAACAGTTTGCAGCTCGCGCTTGTGGCGGCATTCTGGATCTCTATGTTGGCTATGACAAACGAGGGCTCGCCGAATCATCTCGCGACTTCACCACGTTCCAGACCCCATTCGGCGCCCACCGACTCGTCACCCTGCCCATGGGATGGACAAATTCGGTCCCGATCTTCCACGACGACGTCACCCACATCCTCCAGCCAGAAATCCCAGACACCACCATTCCTTTCATCGACGATGTTCCGATTCGGGGCCCACCGACCCGATACGAACTTCCGAACGGCGGGTTCGAGACGCACCCCGACAACCCCGGCATACGACGATTTGTGTGGGAACACTTTCAAGGCCTCAATCGGGTGGTTCAGCGGATGAAGTACAGCGGAGGAACATTTTCGGGACACAAGGCGACACTCTGCGCAGCCGAAATCACGGTGGTCGGCCATCGCTGCACGTACAAAGGAAGATTGCCCGACGAGTCTAGGGTAGAGTCAATTATGAAGTGGGGACCTTGCAGGGATCTCTCAGATGTTCGGGCATTTTTGGGGACGATCGGTGTCGTTCGGATCTTCATTCGGAATTTTGCACACAGGGCGCATGCACTGACAATGTTAACGCGCAAAGATTTTCCATTCGTGTTCGGCCCAGACCAGATAGCGGCCCAGGACGACCTCCGGTCGGCGCTTCTCGAATCGCCAGCCCTTCGGCCGATCGACTATGGGTCGGCAGCCAATGTCATCCTCGCCATCGATACCTCACAAATCGCGGTCGGCTTCCACCTCTGTCAATGTGCGCTCGACAATCCCCGGGTTCGGTACTATGCCCAATTCGGCTCCATCACCCTTAACGACCGCGAATCGCAATTCTCCCAACCCAAGCTCGAACTCTACGGCCTCTTCCGCGCCCTCCAGTCGCTCAAAATGTACCTCATCGGCGTTCGGAACCTGATAGTCGAAGTAGACGCATGCTACATCAAGGGCATGCTCACTAACCCGGATCTCGAACCCAGCGCTAGCATCAATCGGTGGATCGTCTCCATCCTCACCTTCCATTTCACACTCGTCCACGTCCCCGGCACCTCTCACGGCCCCGATGGTCTCTCCCGACGACCACCACAACCCGCCGACCGACCCGAACCCGAAGACGACTTTGACGACTGGATCGACAATCTCTATGGCTTCCTCCATCAGATCAACAACACGTTCCCCACCTCCAACTCAACTTCGACCACCGCCATCTTCACCTCCTCGCTCGTAGGCGACCCCTCGACCGATACCGACTCCAACAACGAAGGCCCGACCATCGACTATTCGGATATCCCAAGATCGCAGAAAGCTTTGGAAGCCGAGGAACGCCTATGGTTGGTCCGCGACTGGCACCGAACATTGGTTTGGCCCCCTTCTCTCTCCGACTCCGAATACGCCACCTTCCTGCGATATTGCACTGAGTTCTTCATCGCAGCCGACAAGCTATGGCGAAAAGACTCGCACGGTCAACACAAGATCGTTGCAGCCCCCTCTAGTCGGATCACAATTCTCACTGCCGCCCACGACGACGTTGCTCACAAGGGATTCTACGCCACGACCGCCTTGGTCGCCGAACGCTTCTGGTGGCCGCACATGAGGCAAGACATTTCCTGGTTTGTTCGGACATGTCACCTTTGCCAGATTCGCCAGACTCGCAATGTCCTCATTCCCCCGACCGTCGCCACGCCTGCACCACTTTTCGCAAAGATGTATATGGACACTATGCATATGCCGACCGCTGGTGGTTTCAAATATCTCGTTCAAGGCCGCTGTTCGGTATCGCACTACCCCAAATTCCGAATGCTCTGACGCGAAACAAGCTCAGCCCTCGCCGACTGGATCTTCGAGGATATCATGTGCCGATGGGGAACACTGGTAGAGATCGTCTCCGACAACGGACCAGCATTCGTCAAGGCGCTCGACCAGTTAGCGAAAAAGTACCACGTTCGGCACATCCGTATTTCGGGCTACAATTCCCGCGCCAACGGCATCGCCGAACGACCTCACTTTGACGTTCGGCAGGCTCTGTTCAAAACCGTTGATGGAGATCAGGCCAAGTGGAATCGTGCAGCTCATTTTGTATTCTGGGCTGATCGCATTACCGTTCGGCGCCGAATGGGTTGCTTGCCATACTTCGCAGCGACCGGAACCCATCCCCTTCTCCCCCTCGACATCGCTGAAGCCACCTACCTCCTGCCACCGCCGACCACAACCCTTAGCACCACCGACCTCATCGCCCGACGTGCCATAGCCTTGCAGAAACGCCGATCAGACCTCGCCCACCTTCGCAGCTCAGTAGTCGGCGCCCGTGTCCAGGCCGCCATCCGATTCGAACAACAGCATTCGGCCACCCTTTGCGACTTCAATTTCCACCGAGGCTCGCTTGTCCTTATGCGCAACACAGCCATAGAGAAGGCACTCAATCGGAAGATGCGTCCACGGTATTTAGGGCCATTGCTAGTAATTTCTAGGAATCGGGGAGGGGCATATATTTTGGCCGAACTCGACGGATCGGTCTTTGACCGGCCAGTGGCGGCATTCCGCATTATTCCTTATTTTGCTCGCAGGTCTCTGAAGCTCGCCGACATTGAAGCCCTCCTCGACATCTCACAAGAACGCCTTCGGGCCATGGAAGAATCCCGATCGAGCAACGACAATGCCGAAGACGACGATGCCGACGAGGAGAATACTGACACCAGCTCCATCCGATCAGCAGAAGACGACGATGCGGCGTCGGCGACTTCTGACTAGACCCACCCTCCCACCCTTCGCTCTCTTTGGTCGGTGACTGGGGACAGTCATGATTTCAGTAGGGAGGAGGAGGCACAGATTTACCCATTCCTTATTCTGATTCATTCGTCACAGACATGGACTGACACCCGATTATTTCCGCATCTCTTAGTACTTTTGCTGCCGACCGATCGCCGACCGAATAGTCGGCACTCATTTTCCCCATCACTCCTTCAAGTACCAAGCCGCATTGAAGACTTCTTCCAATTTGCGCAAAACCATAGGGTTTTATGCCTGTGATGACATACTGAGGCTTCCCCTAAATATTTCAATTTACTTTCTTAAATTCCGCCGAACGCTTCGCTTACAAGTACACACAGTCATTTCGCCAACTGATTTCCCGAACGACGCCTCGGGTTGGCCCACGGGCATTATTGTACACTCTGGACAAGTTCTATTTTACATTTTAAATTTTTCTACACTAAAAAGTTCTACAAAACTCAGTCATCGGGCATGAAATCACCCGACTCCGACCTGCCAGAATCATCGGCCTCCGACGAATCCTCGACCAGGACAACGTCTGAAGGGGCTGAAGGACCCGACCGAGCCTCAAGGGCCTCCAACTCGGCTCTCCACATTGTAATCGAGCGCGCCAAGAAGGCGTGCGATCCCTCAGCCACGGCAATCCGATATCTGATCTCGGACGCGACACCACGGGCAACGGACAGCAACAGGCGTGAAAGCTCGGGGGAAGGGGCGGCGGTAGAGGTCGGGCGAGTAGGGCGACTGGAGCGAGAGGGGACAGGAAGGCACTGAGTAGTAGTTGGAAGGCGCTTGACCGGCTTCCTACTCCGAACGGCTGCACAAGGATGAGCTCAATTACCATGATCACCGAACGACCACTCACCTTTTGACCGTGCGATGCTCTCACCAGCCGACCGCTCAGGGACCAGTACCTCCACCTTGCGCTTCTTCATCGGCCGCTCATTCTCCACCGATTTCACCCCCGACTTCGCCTTCACCTGGGCTTTCCCCTTCTCCTTCGACGTCCACCCAGGCTGAAAGCTACACCCCTTGCGATCGTCGGTGCACTTGAGGCATGAGACCTGGCCCGGTCGGGTGTAGCACCAAGGGGCGACTGTGGCGAACTCGGTCGCGCACCGATGGCAAGCGTACTCGGCCTGGAAAAGGAAGAGTCAGCAAGCAGTAGAGGCGGCAAGAGGGAGGGGACTTACAAGAACGTCACCCGGCAACAGGCCTGGGGGATCCTGAAGAAGCTTCCCGGCTCCGTTCCGCTCTACAGGGGACCGAACGGTTGACATTCGGCCCATTCCAAGACGAAGCGGGAGGACCACCCGACCCTCGGTTGGTGTTCGCTGCCGAGCGAGCTCAACAATAACGGCGCCGGCGCGCTGCTTTCCCTTCGAATCGGCCGACGGAGTAGGGAGGGTCGAGTCCACGCTCATGCGACCCAGGGCCTCAGTCGTGGAAGCAAGGCCGGCGTCAGCAGGGAGCGGGAGGAGGGAAGATGAAGCAGCGGGAGCGGGAGCGTCAGAAAGAGCGGGAGCGTCAGAGGGAGAGGGAAGGAAGAGAGGGAGAAGGCCGGCGGACTCTGACTCCAGCACGGCCATTTGGCGGTCCCCCTCTTCCGGATCCACCGATCCATCGAACATGGCCTCCACCAAGGCCTCCCGGCGACGCTGACGATCCTCTTCGGCGACACGCAGGGCAGCAGCAGCCCGCGCCACCTCAGCCTCCTCAGCCTCGCGTTCGGCAATAGCGACCCGTGCCGATTCCTCCTCCAGGGCCTGTGCTTCGGCCGCTTGTCGCTGTTGCTGCGTGGCAAAGCGTGCCGCCCGTTGAGGTAGGATATGCGTTCCCCAGGCCAGCCAGTCATCGGTGGCCATGTGGTCGAGGCCATGCTCGGCCTCGGCGATCCAGTCGGCGAGTTCGGGAAGGTCTTGCCCATGCGCTGAGCGATCTAAAACAGCCTGAAAAGACGTCAGCGAGCAGCAGGGACAAGAGAAAAGAGCCGACTTACCACTCGCTTGGCGAAACCTCGCGCCCAGGCCTCGTAGTCCTCGTATTCGGCGGCACCATCCGGAAGGAAGAGCATATACTCTCCAAGTTCCGTCTTCAGGGCGGAGAGGAGGGCTGACATGTCGGAAGAGACGAAGGAATTGAGCGGTAGGCAAGCGGCGATGAGGGACTTGGTCGCTGGAGAATCAACGATCGGCACGTGACTGTGGTCACCTGACAAAGCCACGAGCCACTGCGCGCGGCAGTAATTGCGATACGCGCCACCGCTCCTTGCCGACACGCTCTCACGCCACCGTCTAGTTGGGACACGCTAGGCTTTAGCCACTTCCTCACCTAATCAGTTGCCACGCCACAGGACTTTGCCGACTCAGCCCCGGTCTCTCTTGCGCGCCAACCCGGTCCTTTCTACGACATCTCTTTGCCGATTATTCACCTGTGCCACATCCCTCCCACGCACCCACTCCTTTCCACGCCACCACTCATAGCCGATCTTTTTCCCACGAAACTTGCCACACCGCTCCATTTTCCACGCCACAGCTATTCTTTCCACGCTATCGCTTGTTACCAACTCTTTCCCACATCCACGCCACCACATTTTCTACACCATTTTTTTTCCGCTCCGACTCATAGCTGCCGACCACTGACTGAGGACAGTCAGGATTTCAGTAGGGAGGAGATGATGAGCATGCACCCACGCTAGGGTCCGAGGGAGGTATTCGGGAAGCTTTGGGGAGATACCGAACAGCGCTCGACAAGTACCAAAGACGCCGACTATTACCGAACACGGTCGGTCCCTACCCGACCGACGACAAGCCACCGAAGGACGTTCAGCAGTACTTGGGTCAGTTCGCCCACACTTCACGTACTTACCATGACCGCATAGGAGTGTTACGATAAGTGTTTACGAGATCGGAGCCAGTATTCCGTATCGGCCGATGTCCTCCGTGAGTCGGTCGGTCCTTATCGTTTATCTTCCCGACTTCCGCATGGTCGGTCAAACACGATCTTGCACCATTACTTGGCCACCCTGGTCGTACGATACCTCTTCTTTATTTTTCATTGGTTCTCCAACGCCTGTTCCGTCTACCTACGCTCGGGCGATGGATCCCGAACGTTCGGGATTTCGCCATCGCTGATTAACTTTTACCTTATCACCTTCGGAACCCATATGGACATCTCACCTACCTTCTTATCTTCTCTGATCGCTAAGGCTTGGCGCCCATTCGACATCTACTCTCATTTCTTGTTTAATATTTTACTTAGAGGCTCTGTTTACTATAAAAACCTACATACAACTCTGGAATAAACCAGCTTTCGCACCCCACAGTTCAGAGCTCATTCGCACTCGTCTCAACCATCGAAATCGTCTTCATCGACTCCCGAAAACTTGTCATCCTCGTCGTTTGGCCTCATTCGCGTTCGTACTCGTCACTTCGCTCGTACCCCCCATCCTCCCTCGTATATTGTCAGAGTCCCGTGTGGCTCTTGAAGCGCGTAGTTGTCGGTCGCGACACTACCTTCTCGTTACCGACCGAATCCCCGACTCGACCGACCGAACGTTCGGTCGGTGTTCGGCGCAGTCCCGAAACCATTCGGGCGCTATAATCTCATACTCCCCGTTGCTTCTCAGTACGCCATCGATTTCTAAAGTCATCACTAACAATTCCTTGTGTATTAGATACTAGCTCCAGCACCCCCTGCATTAGAGGTTGTTTTGGTGTTGTGCTCGGCACTTAGAGCCACCTCTAGCATATCAGCGCGGTATGCCAATCAACCAAGAATCTGACACACAAGACGCACCCTCCTATCCACCCTTTGGAAACCACCAACGTCCCCTGGCGCTTCATCTCGACAGATTTCGTCACGGACTTACCCGAAAGCAAAGGTTTCGACTCAATCAACGTGGTAGTGGACCAAGGTCTGTCCAAAGGCATAGTCATCACCCCATGCAAGAAAACGATCACGGCAGAAGAAACAACCGTGCTTTTCCAGAACAACGTTTTCAGTCGACATGGGTTGCCGACCAAAATAGTATCCGATCGCAGCCCTCAATTTGCGGCCAAGTTCACCCGAGAACTCTGGAAACGGCTAGGAATCACCGCCGCTCTTAGCACGGCTTATCATCCCCAGATGGACGGAGAAACAGAACGAGTAAACCAGGAGATTAAACAGTTCCTGAGAACATTCTGCAATTACCACCAAGATAACTGGGTGGACCTTTTGCCGTTTGCCGAATTCTCGCACAACACGCGGAAACATTCAGCCACCGGAAAATCTCCTTTCGAAGTACTATACGGGTTCAATCCCCCTTATTCAGCCGACACGGTGCTGGAGACAAAGGTACCCGCGGTAGCTGAACGTATTAAGGTGATCACAGAAGTCCAGGAAGAAGCCGCAGCCAGCCTACAAATAGCCAGCAATTACGCCAAAGACCGGGATCTCCACAGGAAACTCCCTCAGTGGAAAGAAGGAGACCAAGTATGGTTAGAAGGAACCCATATCCGGACAACCCATCCAAAGTTCAAGCTCGCTCCTAGGAGGTATGGCCCCTTTAAAATTTTGGCAAAAATAGGAACCCTGGCATACAAACTTCAAATTCCCCAACAATGGAGAATCCACCCGGTGTTCCATGTCGCAACGCTAACCAAGTATAGGGAAACCGAGGCACACGGAGAAAACTTCGCCAGACCATTGCCGGAGGTATTAAACGATGAAGAACATTACAAAGTAGAAATGATCGTGGACTCAAAGAAACAAGGACGGGGAACCAAATATTTGGTCAAATGGATGGGATATCCCGAGGCAGACAACACCTGGGAACCCTACACTCTCCTAAAAGGAACAGCGGAAGAAGCTATGAAGGAGTTTCATGACCAATACCCTGATAAACCTCGTCCGGGAGCACCCTGAAAAAGCGGAAAGAAAAGTCTATAAAAGAGTGTCCAGAGAGCTCTAAACAGACCATCCTCCCACATCTTCTCCCACTTTTCTCTCAAGCTCCCTCTCCTTCACTCAAATGCTCCTTCACGAAGACCACGATGCTTCATCACCATCCAGAAACTCCTCCCCCAATGTCGTCCTTATGGTGTCCAATCCAGACATCGGACGAGTGGATAGAGGAACCAGTCCTCACCTAAGCAATGCTGGACGAATTGATAGAGGAACCAGCCCTCACCATCCAGAGCCCGCCGTCGTCACCCTCACTCCACACCTCAATAACTTCTCAGATGACGACGCTGAGGACTACGCCAAGTTCAAAGAAAGAGAAAGAACCCGCCGACCGTCATCCCAGGGGGCCCCACGAGATGCATCACGGAATGAAAACCCTGATGACAGAAACCTACCGGGCTCTGACGAAGTACCAGTGGGAGTTCCACCTCCTGCTACAATCGCAGCGAGCATTGGAGCTGCAGGTCCCTCGGGATTACGAGCAAGAACAGCAGCTCAACTCCCAAGCCATGGAGAAACTGAATCGATACCAGTTATACAGGGAGCTACACCTCCGCCAGTACCAACTGGTGGACAGATTCCCCGCTCCATGGGAAGAACTACCCTTGGTGCAAATCCTCACGCCGGAGAATTGGAGCGACACGCGGACGCGCTCCTCCAGCGAAGCACTATCTCCGCGGTAATACAAATGGCCACAGCCATGGCCCTACAACGACTCGCTAACTTCGCTGCAGGGCAACCCGGGAATGAGCATAGCGACATACCTCGACGACTGGCTAGTGCCAGTCTCCAGATCAGAGGACTTGCCCTCCAAACAGACCCTGACACCGCCTCTTGGTATGAACACAACGACGGACGACCACGAGCTCTCCTCATCCATCCCGATGAATTCTCCCAGTATGTCAACAGAGAGCTCCTTCCAGCTCTCCTCTTCACCGGAGAACTGGGCGCCGTCCAACCAAGTAGAACCGACCCTTTCCGTGTTGTCGTCTGGAATGTACCACGTCCCGGAGAACATCCCACGGCTGTACCAAATCCAAGAAGGGCTCCGCGCACGGTCGTGGAACGCCCTTCACCGAGGCCACGGGAAAGTCGCCCAACACATAGCAATCCCACGACGTCCCCCTCTCACCGGGTACGAAATTTTCCCTTATCCCATGGGGGTACCAACGAGGAGGAACCGCCCGTCTATCGAAGAAATGAGGGAAGAAGAAGTCAAGGAACCCAGGCAACCCTCCGCCGCAGAACAACTACTGGCGGGAGTGTTCGACACCGGCCTGGAACGCCTCCTCCTAGTGCTCGATTTCGTACAGACGAGGGACAGAATAACCGAAGTAGCCGCAGAACTCGCCGCGCTGATTCGGAGGCTAGAAGAAATCGCTCTTGGACTTGATCCGAGCTCGATGCATGGGATGCTTTAGATGACCCGGGAAATTACGACGACGCCGATCCGTATTATCGGCCTGATGAAGGGGGCGATGGGTATCAAGGACCCTATGACTACTAAAGAAGGGCAGTCGCGGAGCGAGAAAGGGGGTAAGGAAGTTGAGGAACTCCTACCCCTACTAGGGTCCGAAAAGACCTTAAACTATCGATCGTCCGCAACGACGTAAAACTAGGATCGTCCCTCAAGACGTTAAACTGTACGACCTCATCCGAAAGAGACGTTAAACTACCCCGCGTCCGGAATGACGTCTAAACTATCGGACCTGCATGTCTTAAAACTGTGAAAAGATAAGAAGGCAGGGGAAGTACCTGACCATTTTTAGTCCTAGGTTCAAATGATGGTACGAATCAAGGACAACAGCGGGCATAATTCCACGTACGACCTACGGCGGAACCTTTCACATCCTCGCTGTCAAGGAGTTAATCTGACAGATGCATCGAGCGTCCCATTTGGATCCTCAGTTTTACAGGGTTTTTTCCGCATTAGGGAACCCTCTACATGACATATACTCTACTCGTAGGTGTCGACAAGCCGGCTCTTCGCCTTGGTACAGCGAAGTGCCCATACATAACCGGTTGCAAGTCCGAGCCAAGAAATTATGATGCACAACTTGTTAAGTGAACCCTCACAGTCAAGGTCTGACTGGTGTTTTGGGACGTCCCACTTTGGATCTCCCGTTTTACAGGATCGTTTCCGCATTAGGGGATCCTACAGCTGGCGCATGAGATGATGTAGAGAGCGGGCCGCCTCTACCTCACAAGTCTTCCTAATTGATGCGAGGCCACAAAATACATCCGGAACGATGTAAAACTACCAAAGGCTTGGTCCGCAATGACTATAAACTACTAGGGTCCGCAATGACGTTAAACTAGTCTTCGTCCGAAATGACGGAAAACTATCCTCGTCCGAGATGACGTTAAACTACCATTGACCCAAGGAGCGTGGTTGCATTCTGGTGAAGCACGGATTTTCGGGAGGATCCGCGTCGCAGAACCCTGCCTGTAAGAGGTCGAAGCGCTTCCAATATTCACTCGCTTTTTGGTAAAAGAATATCGGGTCGTCTTGGTTCAAATCCAAGCGAGGGGTCTGGGGACATGGAAGAGCAAGCATCTCTTCATGGAGCGCTCAGTCTAGTCTCGGAGTCGAAGTACAAGAAATTCCGCTCCAAGACCTAGTCAGGAGGCAACTAGGACACGTGCCTCGAGTTGAAGATCTAGTAGGAAGGGACTAGATCACGCGACTCTCGTCTGGCCCACATAGCGGAAGAACGGCAAGAGGGGGCCACTCATAAGTCTATTCCGCCACCATCGTCCGCAATGACGATAAACTACGAAGCGTCCGGGATGACGTTAAACTAGGCATTGTTTTTCCACAATATTTGTGGCGAAACAACGTCCGCGATGACGATAAACTATTGTCCCTTTCCACATAGGGATTGTTCGAGGCCAATGGCATCGACGTCCGCAACGACGGTAAACTACGGGCATCCGAAACGATGTAAAACTACTGTCCCTTCGTTCTAGGGATCTTAGGATGTGTCTCAATATTGGGATGTCTCCTAGTCCGAAATGACGATAAACTATTTGTCCCTTTAAGCATAGGGATTGTGCGTGGTGGAAATCAAGGTTACCCCCACGCGTCCAAAACGACGCTAAACTACTTGTCCCTCCAAGTATAGGGATTGTGCGTGGCGATCTTGACAAGATACCGCGCGTCCGCAATGACGTTAAACTAATGCCCCTGAACTTAGGGGTTGTCATTGATGTCCAATCCCCTGGACACCAATGCGTCCGCAATGACGGAAAACTATTTGCTCCTTACCGTATAGGAGTTGTGGATTGACCGCCATGCTGTCAATTGGTCCGCAATGACGTTAAACTACGTGCTCCTTACCGAATAGGAGTTGTGGTTGTTGACCAAGACCATGGTCATCAACCGTCCGAGATGACGTTAAACTATTCGTCCCTTTTGGTATAGGGATCATCGGTCGACATCATTCTTGACGAGAATGTGTCGACAACGTCCGAAAAGACGTTAAACTACCTTCATCCTCGGGAGGAAAAGCCTATCGTGACTCGAGGGACATAGTCAGACAATAGCTCGCCTATCGCACGGTGTTAAACTGCGAGGATGCCTACCTCACGGCATTAAACTGAGCGGTCTCCTAATATTGAGACGTATAAGTTATCCGGTTTGATATAGTATAAACCGTTCCCATCATGCCTCAGTGGAAACCTGCGGGATAAAAGTCTGGTCTAGGGCCCTATGCACATAACCAATGAATGGTCCGGCGTGCAGAAACATCTTTCCCCACAGATATTCCATGTTGATGATGAAGAAGGTCCGCAAATGACCTAGAAGTAAACTACAAGGCAGCGCAGGGCGCCTTAATACATCCGCAACGATGTAAAACTACTGTCGTCCGCAACGACGTAAAACTAGGTCTCGTCCGCAACAACGACAAACTACGAAACGTCCGGCAAGATGTTTAAACTGCTATTGTGGATATATCTCGCAACCCGACCAATATATCAGCTGTGGTCTTGATGTCCATTCGTGCAAACGAACGGGCCGATCCGGAGAAGGAGTCAGACTCCTCCTTACTCCTCACGGCACCTTTCAAGTCTAATTCTCTTCACATCCTTGCCTCAAACCCAATACGCATAGTGAATCAAACAAACTCTGGACGTTGAACTAACTCACCAGAGATGAGCCCACTGTATGGGGGCGATACTGCTTGGGATTTATGGCTGCAACCTCACCGGAGATGAGCTCACCGTATGGGAGCGATACTGCTTGGGACGTCAAGATGAAGTCTGGGGAAGTAGGCCTAAGCCTTGGTAAAGCGATCAACCTACTTGCCCGTGGACGACATCCTCTGAACGCTAAGAGGAACAACAAAAATCACGAGGATAACGACTATCCTGGAAACACTGAGGTTTGGCCCTCGGAGAAGGAAGAAGAAGAACCTGATGACACGAATCGGAACCCACATGCTAGAGTTTCTACTCATCCATACACCACTCGCATCCATGCGCCTTTCTTGACACCTGTCCGGCGTCGACCGGACTGACATCCTGGCTTGAGAACCCAGGAAAGATCACAACAACCGAGGGGTGAAGGAAGAACATCCCACAGAGCGGAGGTGTGGTACCCTCACGACTCGACAAACAAACAGCTCAACGGAGATGGAAAACTCCTAGAGGATCAAACGACGTAAGTCGGTCTTCCTCCCAGAAAACGAAGTCATGTCCCGGAAGTCGCATCCGGAGACCGTTTTTGGATCAAGAAAGCAAATCGTATATGGAGTGGTGATGAAGCGCAAAAGCGTTGTCCTACCAGGCGAATAGGACGTAGAAAGGGGGTATTGTTATGATCACGTTCTGTCGGGCCTTAACGGCGGTCTATACCAACACGATCATCACAAATATCAAGCGGCCTCACAGGTGAGGCGTACAAACAAGGTACAGATAGTAACCTTGGTCATCCACTCCCAACGGATCACCTTATCGTTGGTCGAGTATCACGGGCCTATTGTGTAGCGGGCATGGAACACCGCCTTACAAACTACTCACACATCGGGCATTGAGCTCCCAGTCGTTCCTGGCCGGAAGGAGACTAACGGAGAAACACAAGAGTAGTCGTTATTGAGAGAGACGACTTAGAGAAATACCTATGGATACATATACGGTATTCTCACGCCCTACTTCCTAAAGTAGTATAAAAGGCCCATAGAGTAGGCTGAGGTTCTTCAGTCTATTCTCTTCGTTCTGGTACTGTCTTCCTACAGTACCCTTCGTTCCCCTGTATCTTCACATACAGGAACCTTTGTTGCTACAACGCAATACATTCCTGGCTCCTGTGCTACACGTACAGTCGAGACCACCGTTCCACACATCCTCCACGAGTGACCTAGGGAAGAACCTCCTACTCTTGGGGTTACCGACGAGCAGTCGTAACAGGGACCAGCTTGATCCAATCGGCAACAAGGCCTGTCATTGGCGGTATGTTGGTCTTTTGTTTTTTGATGTTCCTGGAAGGCGTACAGTAAGCAGTTAAGTAACATGTGATACTAAAAAGGGATACGTGCATAGTCTTATCAATGGTGGTTGACTTGTGCTTTGAGACTTGAGGCAATGGATTGATGGTGTCAGCGTGTTCAAGGATTGCGCGCTGAGCCTCCACCTTTGCCCTGGTATTTTTCCTCTTTGATCTGGCAATGCTTGCCTTGCTAACTTTCACCTCTAGGTTGCTAGTCTCGTTCAACATTTCAACGTCCTCTTGTATATCAGGCTCTACAATCAGAGAGTCATCAGCAAGTCCAACTAGGTAAGTACAGATCAAAATCCTTATGCAATTCCTTCAACGTTGATGCTTTTTTCCTCAAGACTGGCAGACGAGTTGTCTTCTTAATCATCGAAGGCGGTGGGTGTGATGCAACCTTGGCATATTGAATCTGGTTAGTATGTAGCTTGTTCTCTAGTGCTGCTACCTTGCTGATAGTAGTTTATTTTGCCTTTGTCACTTTCTTGTCGGCCACAGCTGTTGCTCTCATCTCTGCTTGTACCTCAACACTGGACCTTCGCAGAGCTACCATGTCAGGCAATCCAGGGTGAGCAAGCTTGTTGGTAGCATGAGTGGATGGGGTCATTGTACTGAATATTGAAGACTTTTTGCAGTGTTGGGAGTTGATGACAGGAAGTGGGCAATAATGCACGGCGTTGCTCCAGTTGTGAATGTTTAGGCATGCTGGGGGTTGCTCACCGGTTTCTTGGTCAGTATTTTTGTATTTTCTCCCTTGCTGCTTGCTTGGGCACTAATCACAACTCTCTGTTCTTTGCGTCCACATGAGCAGTCATCCCATGGCACCTCCAAAGAAGAAGGTCTCCTAGGCTTGGAGTTTTGTCTGCACAACTCCAACAAGTGCCATCTGTCAACAAGGCTTTTTATCACTCGGGGGCCTAGTACAACATCAAAACACTGCTCACCCAATTGTGCGCAACGCTCCACATCCACCTGTACCTCCTGAGATGTATGAAAATCTAGTAAAAGACGATGAAGATAACTTTCCTCAACATGCATATGAGCAGCAACATCCAATCTTAGACGGTACACATCGAGTGGATGGAAATTCCTCTCTTACTAATCCTTCGTCAAACAGGAACACCCTACAATGAGGATGGTAATGATCTCCCACCAAATACTGCTTCTTCTCCATATTCTGCACAATCCATTGGTGGTGTTCCTCCCAACAACAATGACTGGTCATCATTCAATAATTGTCCTGAGTTTGAGATGGCCAACTTTATTTACCACTGAAATCAGATGCCTGCAGATCAGATTGATGATCTCCTGGACATCATAGCTTCATCTCTTCCAGATAGCACTGATCCTCTGTTTGAGAACCATGATGACATCTACGACTGAATCAATGAAATTGCTGTTGGTGAGGTGCCTTGGCAGTGCTTCACGGCTTCATATTCAGGTGCTCTCCCAGCCATCACACCACCGTGGATGCTTGCAGACTACAATGTCTGGTTTTGTGACCTGCACGCCCTTGTGTGGAATCAACTCGCAAATGCTGACTTCAAGGATGAAGTTGACTATGCAGCAAAGCACGTTTTTAATGACAATCACAAGCATGTTGATACACTAGAGGTGGCTCTAAGTGCTGAGCACAACACCAAAACAACCTCTAATGCAAGGGTGCTGGAGCTAGTATCTGATACACAAGGAATCATTAGTGAGGATTTTAGAAATAGATGGCGCACTTGAGACGCAGCGAGGAGTGTGATATTATAGCGCCTGAACAGCTTCGGGACTGCACCAAACACCGACCGAACATTTGGTTGGTTGTGTTGGCAATTCAGTCGGTAACAAGGAGGTAGTGTTGCGATCAACAACTACATGCTTCAAGAGCCACATGGGACTCTGACAATATATGAGGGAGGATGAGGGGTATGAGCAAAGAGACAAGTACAAACACAAACAAGGCCAAACAACAAAGATGACAAGTTTTTGGGAGTCGATGAAGACAATTTTGATGGTTGAGATGAGTGCAAATGAGCTCTGAACTGTGGGGTGCAAAAGCTGGTTTATTCCAGAGTTGTATATAGGTTTTTATAGTAAACAGAGCCCCTAAGTAAAATATTAAACAAGAAATAAGAGTAGATGTTGAATGGGCGCCAAGCCCTAGTGATCAGAGAAGATAAGAAGGTAGGTGAGATGTCCATATGGGTTCTGAAGGTGACAAGTTAAAAGTTAATCAGCGATGGCAAAATCCCGATTGTTCAGGATCTGTTGCCCAAGCATAGGTAGCAGGAACAGGCATTGGAGAACCAATGAAAATCAAGAAGACGTAATGTATAACTAGGGTAGCCAAGTAATGGTGCAAGATCACGTTTGACCAACCATGTGGGAGTTGGGAAGATAAGCAATAAGGACCGGCTGACTCACGGAGGACATCGGCCGATACGGAATACTGGCTCCGATCTCGTAAACCCTTATTGTAACACTCCTGTGCAGTCATGGTAAGTACGTGAAGTGTGGGCGAACTGACCCAAGTGCTGCCAAGCATCCTTCGGTGGCTTGCTGTTGGTCAGGTAGGGACCGACTGTGTTTGGTGAAAGTCGGTATCTTCGGTCCTTGTCTAGCACTGTTCGGTGTCTCCCCAAAGCTTCCCGAATACCTCCCACGGACCCTAGCATAGGTGCATGCTTATCATCTCCTCTCTACTGAAATCCTGACTGTCCTCAGTCAGTGGTCGGTGGCTATGAGTCAGAGCAGAAAAAAAAAGTGGCATGGAAAATGTGGCAGTGTGGCACGTTACATGGGAAAAGGATCGGCAACCAGCGATGGTGTGGAAAGAATGGCTGTGGCATGTAAAGAAAGACCAGAGCTGTGTTGGCAAAGTCCTGTGGCATAGAAAATAGAGTGGAGGCATGGAAAAAAAGTAGGCACGTGGGAGAGATGTGGTAAAGGTGAATAATCAGCAAAGAGATGTTGTGGAAATGACCGGGTCGGCGCGCAAGAGAGACCAGGGCTGAGTTGGCAAAATCCTGTGGCATGGCAAATGATTAGGTGAGAAAGTGGCTAAGGTCTGGAGGGTTCCAACTCAGCGCTGGTGTGAGAGCATGTCGGCAAAGAGTGGTGGCATATATCATGGTTTCCGCCGAGTGTGGTGGCACGTGGCTTTGTCAGGTAACCCCAATCGCCTGCTGATTGTTGATTTTCCAGCGGCTAAGTCCTTTATTGCCCTCTTCCCGCTACTTTGTCTCCTCGTCCAACTCCTTTTGGCCTTCCCACCATGTCTTCCATCCTTTCTGTCCTCGAAACCAAGCTCAGGGAGTACATGCTTGCCCTTCCTGATGGCACCACCGAGTACAAAGATTATGAGGCCTGGGTGTAGGGGTTTGCCAAATGAGTGGTAAGTCGGTTCTTCCTCTTGTTTGTGCTTAGATGTTGACACCTTCGTAGGCTGTGTTCAACCAATTGGTGCATGGGCAGGAAGTGCCCGAACTCGCTGACTGGATTGCCGAGGCCGAGCGTGGCCTCAATCATATGGCCACCAACCACTAGCTAGCCTGGGGAATGCAAATCTTGCTACAGCGTGTGGTGCGCTTTGCCGCACAGCAACAAGCAGTCAAGGCACAGGCCCTGGAAGAGGAAGCTGTGCGGGTAGCCACTGCCAAACACGAGGCTGAGGAGGCTGAGGCGGCGTGCACTGCTTCTGCCCTTCAGGTGGCTGAAGAAGGTCGTCAGCGTTGCCAGGAGGCACTGGTGGAGGCAATGTTCAGTGGGTTGCTCGATGCAGAAGAGGGGGATTGTCAGATGGCTGCCCTAGAAGCCGAGTCCGTTCTTCCCCTCCCTCTCTTTCTTTGTTCTCCTTCTCCCTCTATTCCTGTCATGTCCTCCTCTCGTCCCAAGCCCTCCTTTACCCCTTTGCCTTCTCAACCTTATCCCTTGGTCACCGAGTCCGACCTCGCATCCGCAACTGCTGCCTTGCATCACATGAGCATTGACCTGGTTGCTTCACCTGCCCTGACCAATGTGAACGGCAAGCCGTTGGTGGCTGCTGTTGTTGTTGAGTTCACGCATCAACGGATGCCATCTTTCGGCCGCGTCATGCTTTTGCCAGGCCTTGGTCATGGCTGGATGTCAACGGTTTGGGCCCCAGAGGAACGGAATGGTGCCGGTAAGGTTTTCAAGGACCCCCCTAAGCTAGTATCTGGTAATTGCCTGGTGCGTCCCTTCCCTTTGCCACCTCCTGAGACTGACTGTTACGACTGCTCGTCGGTAACCCCAAGAGTAGGAGGTTCTTCCCTAGGTCACTCGTGGAGGATGTGTGGAACGATGGTCTCGGCTGTACGTGTAGCACAGGAGCCAGAAGTGTATTGCGATATAGCAATGAAGACTGTAGTAGGAAGACTACAGTGGATGAGGGTGCTGTGGTAGGAAGACCACAACGAACGAAGTAGACAGTGTGAAGACTGCCTAAGAACGAAGTACTGTGGTAGGAAGACCACAGTGAACGAAGAGAATAGACTGAAGAACCTCAGCCTACTCTATGGGCCTTTTATACTACTTTAGGAAGTAGGGCGTGAGAATACCGTATATGTATCCATAGGTATTTCTCTAAGTCGTCTCTCTCAATAACGACTACTCTTGTGTTTCTCCGTTAGTCTCCTTCCGGCCAGGAACGACTGGGAGCTCAATGCCCGATGTGTGAGTAGTTTGTAAGGCGGTGTTCCATGCCCGCTACACAATAGGCCCGTGATACTCGACCAACGATAAGGTGATCCGTTGGGAGTGGATGACCAAGGTTACTATCTGTACCTTGTTTGTACGCCTCACCTGTGAGGCCGCTTGATATTTGTGATGATCGTGTTGGTATAGACCGCCGTTAAGGCCCGACAGAACGTGATCATAACAATACCCCCTTTCTACGTCCTATTCGCCTGGTAGGACAACGCTTTTGCGCTTCATCACCACTCCATATACGATTTGCTTTCTTGATCCAAAAACGGTCTCCGGATGCGACTTCCGGGACATGACTTCGTTTTCTGGGAGGAAGACCGACTTACGTCGTTTGATCCTCTAGGAGTTTTCCATCTCCGTTGAGCTGTTTGTTTGTCGAGTCGTGAGGGTACCACACCTCCGCTCTGTGGGATGTTCTTCCTTCACCCCTCGGTTGTTGTGATCTTTCCTGGGTTCTCAAGCCAGGATGTCAGTCCGGTCGACGCCGGACAGGTGTCAAGAAAGGCGCATGGATGCGAGTGGTGTATGGATGAGTAGAAACTCTAGCATGTGGGTTCCGATTCGTGTCATCAGGTTCTTCTTCTTCCTTCTCCGAGGGCCAAACCTCAGTGTTTCCAGGATAGTCGTTATCCTCGTGATTTTTGTTGTTCCTCTTAGCGTTCAGAGGATGTCGTCCACGGGCAAGTAGGTTGATCGCTTTACCAAGGCTTAGGCCTACTTCCCCAGACTTCATCTTGACGTCCCAAGCAGTATCGCTCCCATACGGTGAGCTCATCTCCGGTGAGGTTGCAGCCATAAATCCCAAGCAGTATCGCCCCCATACAGTGGGCTCATCTCTGGTGAGTTAGTTCAACGTCCAGAGTTTGTTTGATTCACTATGCGTATTGGGTTTGAGGCAAGGATGTGAAGAGAATTAGACTTGAAAGGTGCCGTGAGGAGTAAGGAGGAGTCTGACTCCTTCTCCGGATCGGCCCGTTCGTTTGCACGAATGGACATCAAGACCACAGCTGATATATTGGTCGGGTTGCGAGATATATCCACAATAGCAGTTTAAACATCTTGCCGGACGTTTCGTAGTTTGTCGTTGTTGCGGACGAGACCTAGTTTTACGTCGTTGCGGACGACAGTAGTTTTACATCGTTGCGGATGTATTAAGGCGCCCTGCGCTGCCTTGTAGTTTACTTCTAGGTCATTTGCGGACCTTCTTCATCATCAACATGGAATATCTGTGGGGAAAGATGTTTCTGCACGCCGGACCATTCATTGGTTATGTGCATAGGGCCCTAGACCAGACTTTTATCCCGCAGGTTTCCACTGAGGCATGATGGGAACGGTTTATACTATATCAAACCGGATAACTTATACGTCTCAATATTAGGAGACCGCTCAGTTTAATGCCGTGAGGTAGGCATCCTCGCAGTTTAACACCGTGCGATAGGCGAGCTATTGTCTGACTATGTCCCTCGAGTCACGATAGGCTTTTCCTCCCGAGGATGAAGGTAGTTTAACGTCTTTTCGGACGTTGTCGACACATTCTCGTCAAGAATGATGTCGACCGATGATCCCTATACCAAAAGGGACGAATAGTTTAACGTCATCTCGGACGGTTGATGACCATGGTCTTGGTCAACAACCACAACTCCTATTCGGTAAGGAGCACGTAGTTTAACGTCATTGCGGACCAATTGACAGCATGGCGGTCAATCCACAACTCCTATACGGTAAGGAGCAAATAGTTTTCCGTCATTGCGGACGCATTGGTGTCCAGGGGATTGGACATCAATGACAACCCCTAAGTTCAGGGGCATTAGTTTAACGTCATTGCGGACGCGCGGTATCTTGTCAAGATCGCCACGCACAATCCCTATACTTGGAGGGACAAGTAGTTTAGCGTCGTTTTGGACGCGTGGGGGTAACCTTGATTTCCACCACGCACAATCCCTATGCTTAAAGGGACAAATAGTTTATCGTCATTTCGGACTAGGAGACATCCCAATATTGAGACACATCCTAAGATCCCTAGAACGAAGGGACAGTAGTTTTACATCGTTTCGGATGCCCGTAGTTTACCGTCGTTGCGGACGTCGATGCCATTGGCCTCGAACAATCCCTATGTGGAAAGGGACAATAGTTTATCGTCATCGCGGACGTTGTTTCGCCACAAATATTGTGGAAAAACAATGCCTAGTTTAACGTCATCCCGGACGCTTCGTAGTTTATCGTCATTGCGGACGATGGTGGCGGAATAGACTTATGAGTGGCCCCCTCTTGCCGTTCTTCCGCTATGTGGGCCAGACGAGAGTCGCGTGATCTAGTCCCTTCCTACTAGATCTTCAACTCGAGGCACGTGTCCTAGTTGCCTCCTGACTAGGTCTTGGAGCGGAATTTCTTGTACTTCGACTCCGAGACTAGACTGAGCGCTCCATGAAGAGATGCTTGCTCTTCCATGTCCCCAGACCCCTCGCTTGGATTTGAACCAAGACGACCCGATATTCTTTTACCAAAAAGCGAGTGAATATTGGAAGCGCTTCGACCTCTTACAGGCAGGGTTCTGCGACGCGGATCCTCCCGAAAATCCGTGCTTCACCAGAATGCAACCACGCTCCTTGGGTCAATGGTAGTTTAACGTCATCTCGGACGAGGATAGTTTTCCGTCATTTCGGACGAAGACTAGTTTAACGTCATTGCGGACCCTAGTAGTTTATAGTCATTGCGGACCAAGCCTTTGGTAGTTTTACATCGTTCCGGATGTATTTTGTGGCCTCGCATCAATTAGGAAGACTTGTGAGGTAGAGGCGGCCCGCTCTCTACATCATCTCATGCGCCAGCTGTAGGATCCCCTAATGCGGAAACGATCCTGTAAAACGGGAGATCCAAAGTGGGACGTCCCAAAACACCAGTCAGACCTTGACTGTGAGGGTTCACTTAACAAGTTGTGCATCATAATTTCTTGGCTCGGACTTGCAACCGGTTATGTATGGGCACTTCGCTGTACCAAGGCGAAGAGCCGGCTTGTCGACACCTACGAGTAGAGTATATGTCATGTAGAGGGTTCCCTAATGCGGAAAAAACCCTGTAAAACTGAGGATCCAAATGGGACGCTCGATGCATCTGTCAGATTAACTCCTTGACAGCGAGGATGTGAAAGGTTCCGCCGTAGGTCGTACGTGGAATTATGCCCGCTGTTGTCCTTGATTCGTACCATCATTTGAACCTAGGACTAAAAATGGTCAGGTACTTCCCCTGCCTTCTTATCTTTTCACAGTTTTAAGACATGCAGGTCCGATAGTTTAGACGTCATTCCGGACGCGGGGTAGTTTAACGTCTCTTTCGGATGAGGTCGTACAGTTTAACGTCTTGAGGGACGATCCTAGTTTTACGTCGTTGCGGACGATCGATAGTTTAAGGTCTTTTCGGACCCTAGTAGGGGTAGGAGTTCCTCAACTTCCTTACCCCCTTTCTCGCTCCGCGACTGCCCTTCTTTAGTAGTCATAGGGTCCTTGATACCCATCGCCCCCTTCATCAGGCCGATAATACGGATCGGCGTCGTCGTAATTTCCCGGGTCATCTAAAGCATCCCATGCATCGAGCTCGGATCAAGTCCAAGAGCGATTTCTTCTAGCCTCCGAATCAGCGCGGCGAGTTCTGCGGCTACTTCGGTTATTCTGTCCCTCGTCTGTACGAAATCGAGCACTAGGAGGAGGCGTTCCAGGCCGGTGTCGAACACTCCCGCCAGTAGTTGTTCTGCGGCGGAGGGTTGCCTGGGTTCCTTGACTTCTTCTTCCCTCATTTCTTCGATAGACGGGCGGTTCCTCCTCGTTGGTACCCCCATGGGATAAGGGAAAATTTCGTACCCGGTGAGAGGGGGACGTCGTGGGATTGCTATGTGTTGGGCGACTTTCCCGTGGCCTCGGTGAAGGGCGTTCCACGACCGTGCGCGGAGCCCTTCTTGGATTTGGTACAGCCGTGGGATGTTCTCCGGGACGTGGTACATTCCAGACGACAACACGGAAAGGGTCGGTTCTACTTGGTTGGACGGCGCCCAGTTCTCCGGTGAAGAGGAGAGCTGGAAGGAGCTCTCTGTTGACATACTGGGAGAATTCATCGGGATGGATGAGGAGAGCTCGTGGTCGTCCGTCGTTGTGTTCATACCAAGAGGCGGTGTCAGGGTCTGTTTGGAGGGCAAGTCCTCTGATCTGGAGACTGGCACTAGCCAGTCGTCGAGGTATGTCGCTATGCTCATTCCCGGGTTGCCCTGCAGCGAAGTTAGCGAGTCGTTGTAGGGCCATGGCTGTGGCCATTTGTATTACCGCGGAGATAGTGCTTTGCTGGAGGAGCGCATCCGCGTGTCGCTCCAATTCTCCGGCGTGAGGATTTGCACCAAGGGTAGTTCTTCCCATGGAGCGGGGAATCTGTCCACCAGTTGGTACTGGCGGAGGTGTAACTCCCTGTATAGCTGGTATCGAGTTAATTTCTCCATGGCTTGGGAGTTGAGCTGCTGTTCTTGCTCGTAGTCCCGAGGGACCTGCAGCTCCAACGTTCGCCGCAATTGTAGCAGGAGGTGGAACTCCTATTGGTACTTCGTCAGAGCCCGGTGGGTTTCTGTCATCAGGGTTTTCATTCCGTGATGCATCTCGTGGGGGCCCCTGGGATGACGGTCGGCGAGTTCTTTCCCTTTCTTTGAACTTGGCGTAGTC